GGTTTAATAGCTTTGCTTAATTGCTTTCAAAGCTATACTTTCCATGTTTTCCCTCCAACTCTTCTCAAGGCAGCAATGGTGCCTCCTTCATTCGTTCATGGCTAGCTGGCTTATGGATTTCTTTCTTTCTTTTTTAATTCTGAGGACTGCAAAGGAAAGTATATCGACACCATTTCTGGTTTTTCAGTGCTGTATAAAGTATGAATCCTACTGCCTAGCATTATTTACAAGAACCATAGCATGTGTGCTTTTAAATAAAGGTTGGTTGGTTGGTTTTTCCTGCTTCAGTGGATCATTATAGCTAAGGACAAATAAATAAAATAATTACAGTGGAAGTAGCCCTGATCTTGGAATTAGGTTATCATAACCAGTACTGTCTAACTATCATGTCTATTTGCATTCTGCATAAATACTATCTGCCAAATAATTGGCTAGATCCAGGCTCAGCTATGCTCTTTACATGATTGAAATCAATGGGGACTTTGGTTGTAAATCCATGAAGAGAGTTCAAACAATGCCAAGACTGTCAACTTCCCATAATATACAGTAACAATTACTTGTGAAATCCAATGAATACTAATGGGCTGGATCATGATTTATTTACATGTAAAATAAAACCATTAAAATGAGTGTGATTTAGGTTATTCATAACTTGCTTGTACAATACCTAGTTAATTTGTTTTTATAGACCTCTTACACACATAAACAAATAAGCTAGCAGATGTATAATTCTATTATACATAATAGAATTATATAATTATCTTCTGTTGAAATTTGTACACTATTAGGATTGATAAATAAGCTCCAAGTTTTTATTCAAAAATAAGGTCATTAACTAACCGTATTCAGGATAATTCCATTAGAAAATCCTTTCAGTTTCAGTGCAGTCTAAAAGATAAAGTAGCATTATTTTAATAGGTTTATTTTTAAGGCGCATACAGTCCAGGGGAAAGTCAAATCCTCATAATATTTATTTGTGTTTGACTGAAAATAAGCTTCCCTTAGTTTTCTTCTCCATCATAACTCACCTGATTCATTAATATTGTAGGCAGAAGACTGAAGAAATTGGAATCTATGCTAGAACCAGCTAACTGGATAAATCAGGAAATCGGGAAATAGTCATTGTAGTATCTAAAATCTGGTTCATCAGTAAGACTGAAAACATATAAATTGAACATAGTAATCTAGCCAATCATAGTGGCCACTATGGTCAAAAAGGCAGATGCATGATCCCACAAAACTAATTGTGAGTCCCATCACACTATGCAATTTCTGACAGCGGAAATAAAAGTTAACAGGGAGTTCTTCACCAAGCAAAACAGTTTGTCCATGCAGTATTTACTCCTACAGCTAATACTTTTTTGACATACCTTGAATTGCACAGAGATTGTATACATTAAGGAGTTCTAATCATTCCCCAACAAATCAGCTGCCATGAATGTGAGAACAGCTCAGAGAAAGTCCCAGATTTCTTGAAGATTATACACAAGTAAAGGTAAATCCCTTTCAAGTTGAGCTCCAACTTCACATAGTTTCCTTAGCAGCAGTAAAGTGATTTGCCACTGTCCTCTTCTGGATAGTTTAAATTTCCCAATCTAGCCTATACTTGGATCTTGGATCTCCTATCCAAGTACTAGCCAGGTTGGCCAGATGCTGCCATCTCTGAGGTGCATTGTTACAAAGTAGGGTGGAGGGATAATTTAAAACCACCCCAGCAGACTCCTCTTTCTAAAAGTTCCCTAGTAAAATGTAATTGTAATAGGCTCACCCTCCTGATACTCCCTAGTGTTTGGGCAGTGGGGGTCTTAGTCTTTCTACCCAGGACTTCTTCCTCCAGCCCAGCCCAGGAAAATAGGAAGGAACTTTGAATCTTCCTGCCCAAGTCCAGAAATACAGAACTTATGAATCCTGTATCAATCCGGAAACACAAAAGGTAGCACCTAACCATGCAGTCCTGAAGCCAAATCTCGTGATGGAAGAAGGACTAGGAAAAAAGGATTGGGAAAATGAAAATCTAGGGAAAATAAGGGAAGGCAATAACAACACACAGAGATGCTTTACCTTTTTGGGTTTCAGCACGTGTTCATTGCAGAGAGGATGACTGGAGAGAGATCTTTGGGATCTCACAGGCAGGTCACTTCCTTTCTTCCTTTTGTTTTTTTCTTCTCAACTCTGATGCCCAAGCTCAGAAAATGTAAGAGCTAAATGAAAGCCAGCCTTTGGGGGAAACTGCTTGTGCTTTGCCAAATTAAGGACAGTACTCCATCTCTGATGTCTTCTGATGTTGATCCAGCCAGCAACTCAGAAACCAGGGGCTAAATAGATGTCCTTTCCTAATGACCCTCAATAGAATTATTAAGAGATAATAATAACCAGTTTTGGCTTGTTTAAGTGGGATTGCATGAAAAACAAAAACTGAATTCCATCCAGTCAGGCCTTTCAGTGTGAGATCAATTTATTAGATGCTTAAAGGAGCACTGTAGTGCCATACCCACCTAGCAGTTTGGAACATGCATCCACCATACTGGATAGATTCATTGGACACTGTTGAACAAACTGTGGTAGTTTGGTTCATGCATAACACTAAGCAATAATCCATGATTTGCAAACCACAATGACTGAGTTCATACATCAAGCCAAGATTAAGTAAATGCATTATGACGTAGTATAATATATGAAACTTAGGTTTCATTACATTGAAATAAGCCTTTTTGCTGCAGTAGACTCAAATTCAATTTCTACTTCTACTCCAGACCAGTGTTTCTCAACCTTAGCAACTTTAAGATGTGTAGATGTCAATTCCCAGAATTCCCCAGCCAGTTCTGGGAGTTGAAGTCCATACCTCTTAAGTTGCCATGGTGCCAAGGTTGCGACACACTGCTCCAGACAGTTTAAAAACTCAGTACATCAAAAGCGATCTTAAGAGAGTAGTTTGAGAGCCACTGTAGAAACACCCTTGATGCATTCCATTGAGTTTATTGGCCAATAATACAAACAATTATTTGTGTGTGTGTGTGTGTGTGTGCGCCTTCGAATCATTGTTGACTCCTGGGGACTGCCTGGACTAGACCCTGCAGTTTTCTTGGCAAGATTTCAGAAGTGGTTTGGCATTGCCCGCTTCCTAGGGCCGAGAGAGAGGACACTGGCCCAAGGTCACCCAGTTGGCTTCGTGCCCAAGGTGGGACTAGAATTTGTGGTCTCCTGGATTCTAGCCGGGTGCCTTAACCACTACACCAAACTGGCTTCATTCTACAAAATGAAAATAGCTCAGGGAAGATCCTGAAAATTCATTAATAGTAGAAAACAATTGGAGATTCAGAAACAGCCACTTAAATTCTTGCTTGCAGCACTTTATCCGGCCACAATTACGTGAATGAAAAAGGCCAAGGAGATTAACAAGCAGGTGAATAGGCATTCCAGGACAAATGGGGAAGAAATATTACAGAGGGATGAAGAGAACAATAGAACAATTGACACCAATCAGAGCAGAAGTGACTTCTTGAAAAGTTGTTTTATGCCTTCCTCATCCATGAGTAACTGCATGCCAGGTTACAGACTAGC